GCGAGGGCGGGGATGGCCGCAGGGAGCTCCGCTGCGTCCCGAGGGGGTTAAAATACCTTTCTGTCGTGGTGCGCTTTCTTTTTTTTTCTTCTTTAAACATCTGGATTTCGATAAACTAAAAGTGAAAATTATTAGAAGCAGTTTTGTCGAACCACACGATCTTGTAAAGACTACAGGAAAAATGAAGACAACCAATTCACGTGGCTTTGCGTTCTTCTGTTACAGGGATTTGGGCAGTGTTTAAGTGCATAGCCTCCCTCCCTGCCGAGAGCCAAAAAACTCACGTCAAAAGCAGATTTACTTTCACATTGGTAATGAACAGTTCCTCGTAGCGTTGTGTATATCCGTTGCATCATAGCTGTACATTACCCTTGGCAGAAACGCTGGCATTTTCATGGCAAGTCTGTTAAAAATGGCATTACCATCTGAGAAAAACAAGCTCTTTCAGTGAATTAAGATACCGAAACAGTAACAGGTATTTTTACTGTATTAAATGTTTCAATAAAACAAACAACCAAAACAGTTGTGTAACAAAAATAATTGATTGTTTGTGTGCAAGTCTATACTTATAGGGCCAGATCGTCCTATTCATTTTCAGTAGAAGATAAGTTGGGAGTAAAATTTCACTATTCAATATGAACTGGATACTGAACAGGTTTTCCTGTTTTGTAATATTGTATGTGTCTTTTGCAGGGTAAACTTTTTGACTCTACAGTAACTGATGAAGGAACGTGGACGTTAGGTAATAACCTACATCTGAAATGACATTATGAGAGCAGTAGAACTTCTCAAAATATGCTGCAGAAGAGTTTACCCCCTTGTTTTTAATGGGAAAGATTACTTTCTTCCCTGTATGTAGCTTTGTAAAAAACTAATTATTGCCAGGTGAAGGAACTGAGGTAGTACAAAAGCTAAAGCTAAACAATTACGGTACAGTTACATGGTCTGTATCTCTCCATAATTGTTACTTTTCTGTTTGTGGTTTTTTTTTTTTTTCTCCTTATATTTTCGGGATGGGTGACAAAACCTATAGTCCAAGAGCACCAAAAAGCAATCTAAAAATCACACTAAGGTACCTACAGATAATAAGCAAAAAAAAAATCTTCTCTGATCATTACATCATAAATATTGTAAAGTGTTCAGAATATTTTGGCTTTTGGCAATCACATTTGTGGACTGTGCCTCCCACTTAATGTTTTCCTATGATGGATTTTGTTTTTAATATTTTTTCTAAATATTGATTAATAATTTAGTAACCTAAACATTGTGCAGTGAAGCCTACTCTTTTCCAGTATACAAATAATCTTCAAAATACACTTTATAATGCTATATTTATTGAATTAAGTAGAACTGAGCATCCTATGTAGTCACTTTGAAATGTACTTCCAACATATTGTCTATAGGCATACTGTCTGTGTTTAAATAAATTGCTTATACCTCCATATGTTGCTAAAACATAGGTCTGGCTTTTATTGATAATAACTCTCTGTAAAGCCTGACCTTGAATCCTTCGTTATTGCCTTAGCTGAGCTATATATATTAATAGATTAAATCTTCTTTCTGTTATGAACCTCTCTAAAAGGTTAGTTTATATTTGCAACAGAAGTACTTAGGAACTGTGGTTTAATCCCTTCAGCTTTTTACAGGCCAGAAAAGGGAGAGGTGGCAGTATAGGCTATCTTTGCTTCAGCCTTTCTGTTTCTTGTTAATATTTATTTATTTATCAATAACCCTGTGGCATTGACATTAAGAATTTAAATTACTTCACCAAAAAAATCCTGTGCTTGTTAATGGTGAATTCACCAAAACAACAACAAAGGACTGAGTTTAATAGTTGGTTTATGTCTCTGTTTTCATTCAACAGAAGATAGGAAGCTGATACGAATTGTTCTAATGAAGACAAATCGAGATGCTGGAAACTGTTGGACATCTCTGTTAGAAAATGAATACGCCGCTGATCCTTGGGTACAGGACCAGATGCAAAGGAAACTTACACTGGAACGATTCCAAAGAGAGGCAAGTTAAAGGACCATAATTATTCCTTGTATTTTGTGTTTACACACAGAGGTTATGGCCATGAAAGCTGAGCAAAATTGTTCTGCTGTCCATTGCCATAGAAACATATACTGTAGTTCAATATATTTAGAATGCTCACGAGGCTTTATCAGTGTTATTCTGTCTCTAGTCTGTCTGAAGGTTTTGTGAAAAGGTGAGTTTAGGAGGGGGTATTGCTGTTTTAGGGTTTGTTGCATAATACAGCCTTTCACTTAATAGAAATAGTGTATAGCCTCACTTATCATCTAGAATTATGACATAGCCATATTTACAACAAACTTCTAACATCAAGCTCTATTGAATATGTGTGTTTAGAACATCAAATGATGTAGTCAGCTGGAAAATATTTTTCTTGCCCTTTTACTAAAATTGCCCAAATTGTTTTGAGACACCTTTAGCACGCAACTATTCCTATGCTCGTCTGCAGAGTTTTACAATTACAACTTATTACTTATCAGCTGAATCAGCACACTACATACTGCCACAAAGAACATAATTTTTATAAAACTTTTTATCCAGCATGGCAGGTACTTCTATTTTAAAATAGTAATTTCAAGGGACACCAGAAGCCAGAAATTTTTCTTAAACTTTCCTTAATATTTCTTTACTGGGGGATCTAACTGCTTGCGAATTTGAGAAGAGGATTACAAAGTCACTTCAGCAGTAGGCAACCAAACTATGACAATTCAAGGTGTACTTGATACATTTTCCAAGAATTTCAGTGCCATGACAAATGGGTGACAAGTTGATTGTTATATGTCCTTGTTACAATAGTAGAATATTAACAGAAACAGTTTTGGCCTTTTTTTTTTTTTTGGTTGGTTGGGGATTTTTTTTAACCATTTTTATTAAGAATAACCTATTAAACTTTTATCTCCATCAGAACCCTGGATTTGACTTCAGCGGGGCAGAAATTTCTGGAAATTATAGCAAAGGAGGACCAGACTTTTCTAGTCTTGAACAGTAAACTGGTTTTATCTGTGTTCCTTGAGAGGAATTACAAATTACCCTTCAGGACTGGAATCATGTAACTGGTGAAGACTTCAGTGATCTCTTCAACGGATTGTCGTCAAGTAATTATTTCAGTGAAGAGAAAGAAGATCTCTTCCAGTAGAATGAAGACAAAGTCTTACCAGCTGATTTATAAGCTGAGGGACAAACTATAGAGAAAGGTGTACACAAATAAGTAACATCTTTAAGCAGAATGTTTGGTTTGGGTTTCTTTTTTAGAGACACCATAGTAAACTAGTCAGTTATAAATACACTACTTGACTTTATGCAAGAATATATTATTCACCATTGAAGAACAGATGTTATAAGCAAGGTATTTAATATTTTCTCTTAACTTGCAACAAGAAGGATATTAGGATGGCTACAGTTACACTTTCCCTCTGTAGCAGCCCGAACTGATAAATGTCACTGCAAAAAAGAGATTTAAATAAACTACTATATCTTACCTCAAATAAGGTTTTACAATCCACTGTGCTGTCAAATATAGCACTAATGATTAATACATGCTACCAGGTAAGCGATACTAGAAAATTGAAAGGTCAGGTGAAAGTGTGGATATAAATAATTTTATCTGTTAATGTAATATAGCCTATCAGTATAAATATTTAAGATTTTGGAAGTAAGAGAATATAATGACTTTTGAAAGGAATGGGAAGTCCTAAGCAGGAAATGGTATCTTGCATCTATTCATTACCAACATATAGCACAAGTTGTTGATAGTGTATCTGAGAAACTCTAGATTTTTGTAGATTGTTTTAAATTTAATAGCCACATTTTAAACTTAGCTTGCATGATATATTTTGCATGTGCCAATCATGTATCAGGAATTTTCTACTCATTGTTAAGGATGCAGCTGAAAAGCACTTCAGCCGCAGCATTAGACAGGATGAATGCTGTGTCAAACAGACCAACAGAGGGAGAACACGTGATTGCCAAATCCTATTGTTTTCTGAACTCTGAAACTACTGCCTATGCTACAGTCCTAAGCAGAAGTGTCACTGGAGATAAATTTCCAGCAGCTGTCCATCATACTGCTGAGCTTTATTTCTACAACTGCATCATTAGTTCAGTTAGCATATGGCAAAAAAAAAAAAGCAATAGTTGAGGAAGAATGCTTTCACTATGATTACATCCAATGCTTTCTTCTTGTACGAGCAAGCAAGCATTAATACTCCTCAAGTAATCACATGTGCTCTTCCTACCCGTGTCATTTTTACATAAAGTCAAGTCCATACATTGTGCTTGGGTTTCAGAACCTGCCTCACTATCCAAAGCATAGTGTGGTATCAAATGCTACTTTGTGGCTTTGAAGTTTTGTACCTTTACCATGATCCTAGTATAGAAGGTGGATGGTATAGTTAAGAAATGAGTGAGACTGCTGCAGAAGTAACTAAAGACACAGGGAAGAGGAAAAATGGTTAATGTTGCATCAAAATGCTAGAATACTATCCAGTGTAGTAGTACTTTTTTGTTACAGCAGTTGGTTTGTACAGGATTCTAAGTCTTTTGCTTATAGCAGTTTAGAATGGCATGTGGCAATTCAGTGCATGAATTTACATTTACTATATGCATTTTCAAAGCTAAACTTTATTCCCCTATTTTCTGCTTTATGAAGTAGCATGAGTCATCATACAGCCAAGTCCAATGGAAAGAGGACAACTGTGAAGTATGTATCCAGGCATGAAGGCTCTGAATTGTTTTAAGAGGAAAAGTTTGAACTACTTGGTTCGCTACTTCTGTTGTCTACTCTAAGTTACAGACCTCCAATTTTGGAAGAATCTAGATGCAAATAAAGAGATTGATGCTATGACTTTCCTTAATTACTATCTACTCAGTTCTCGGGCTATAGTTTAACAAATGGTGGTTTGTGTTCCATCTCGCAAGTCTCAGTGGGACTCACTCCATTGCTTCTTAGACAAACAGTACTCCGTATTTGACAGATACATAAGCATCTGGTTCAAGATCAGCTCGGAGTAATGCCACGAGGTTGCTCTCTTTATCAAAAGGACTACAGCTGCCTTGAGTCAGTTAGGCACAGAAATGTATAGCTAAACTTATCCCTAGTCAAACTGGGATGCTCAGATCAGTGCAAAAACTCCAATCTTGGGATTAGAAATTTAAGTGCCATTTCTTTTAAGTGAACATTGTCCTTTTATTTACTGCAATGTATAGAAACAGATGATAGATACTATTAGATAAATAATGGAAGAGGGTTGAAGTCAAACTTGAACAGTCTAAGCTACTTAAGTCAGTCTTTTCAATCTTGACATTTTCACATTTCAAAGGATTTAGAGTAATTGAGGGCAAAGCTGAAATAATTTTAATGAAGTACCTTAAGTTTTTCCTGGTGGTTCTCTAGCCTTTCCTTTTTTTTCACCTCTTAAAAAAAAATTTGAGGAAAATTTCCATCATCTCTTACCTCCTGCCTGTTAGTTTTCCATGTACTATTCAGATAAAGTCACTTTATAGGCTTCCTACTAAGATGTTTTATAACAAATAGGAAAAAAAGTTACTCAGTTAAACACATTTCAATGTTTAATTGAAAGGTACATATCTTAATATTGAGACATGACAACACCATTAGAATTGCACATTGCATCTTCTCCGTCTCTCCCAGCAGGCTGACCGTACCTTTGTGAGAATCACTTGTATGCTTTTCAGAGGCCAGCACAACGCAGATAGCACTGGCAGATGCAAAACCCAATTACCTGTTACACAGATGCAATTGTTCCCTTGAGTTCACGAGAATGCTTGATTTGTCCAGTACAGAGCTTTGGTATGAATTCTTCTGTGAAAAGTTTAACTAGTTTGAGATAGGTAAGGAAAGATTTTCCCCTCGGCTATTCCTGTGAAGGGGAAGGAGTTGGTTGGCTAACATCTAAGCCCACGCTCTATTCAGAACATTCTGATCTCTCCTTCTGCACTCAGTCAGTCAGTTATGGCAATCAGTAACAGCCTATCACTAACAGCCTCTGCTCCACAGTGATGCAGAAGAGGTCATTAGCAACATTTCCCCAACACTTCTTTTCATCTTACATACAATAATACATTCTTACTATTCACTTCCTTGTTAGCACTAGAAGCACGATACGCCTCAAGTACTGATCTGGTCTTCTGAAAAACCAGTTGTATTTTACAAAGCTTACCATTAAAGAGATCAGAGCTGAAGCAATCTTCAGTGTTTCTCAACTAGATTGCTCCTATGTACAGGCCAAGATGGGGCTTTAGCCCTGCTCCTAATGGACCTGTTCAGCATCAGCATTTACCTGCCGTACAGTGAAACTGTGGAAAACCAGTGTCCAGTTTGGGGGAGGTGACCCAGTACTTTCCCTCAGCCTTCATTAGGTATCATGAAGTTTTTACGCTCTATGAAATAATTCGTAATGTTAGTAAACTATACACCTCTTACAAAATACTAAAGTTACTGATGCTGTGTTAGTGAGCAGCTTTTACAAGGCAATGAAATAAGGTTTCTCTTTTCTCCTGCTCTAGCTACCTGACACGTCCAGTGGGTATCACATAGCCTAGTTTTTAATGTGTGTCTATGGTAGACGGCCGGTGTCCTGCCCAGCAGGAACATGCAGACACACGACACTGCCCAAACAGCGCGTCAGATGGCCTGACAGGCATTTGCTATTGTCATCAACATTGAGCGGGATTAGTCTTTAGTTTGATTGAGACACTGCAACACTGTGCTACTACTGCACATGAGGTTTTCCTAGTGTCACGTAATCTTAGTAAAGTGAACCAGATTTTTAAAATTAAATATATATAATTCTGCATCTGCAGTTACAGTAAACCAAGGTGAGACTACACAACCCGCTCTACAAACTATAATGTGTTAAAATTCCTTGCATCGATATTGTGGTGTTTCACAGAACAGTAAACAGTCTAACAAGTAAGACTGAAAACTGATACTGAATATTGTAATCATCATGAGAAGAACTTATTTGCTGGAAGGATCTTTAGTCTGAAGTGTTACATATTCTCTCCATGAGTAGAGTTCTTCATTAGTAAGATCATGTTTCAGACTTTGTCTCTCAACTATTATTCATGTGTCTTTTGATAAGGTCATAGAATGGTTCTCTCCTCATTTTATTGTACTCCTGTAAAAAAATAAAAATACCAGTCAGCTGAAGGGCTTTCTACAAGAGCCAAACAAAGCATCAGATTTTAATATAGCAAGACAATAGCAAGACGGGTGTTATAGAAAACATGTAGCTTTTGGAATTAAAGTCTAGATAAGGAAGCAGTTCACAATTTCTACAGAGTAAAAAACCAGTAATATGAATAACTGAATTACAGTTTTTAGACTTTACTAAATGGGCAGTTATACAAGTATAACTTCTTTATAAGTATATACTTTATACAAGTATGTATATACTTTATAAGTATACAAGTATAACTTCTTCTATAAGTGGTTTAAGGGAACGATTACAAGGAACTCATTCTAACAGGCAACTGTTTCCTCTTAGCTGATTCTTTTTAGGATAGGAGCAAGCCAAGTTTTTTCTCTGCCTTTTTACCAGTTTTACTCTACATTTTAGTTTGAATGAAGTCCCAATGTCTGTAGAACACTTTTCTGCTCCCACAGCACACCAGAGGATCAGTTCTTTCTCCAGCGTTCATATATTAGGTTGCTACTTCTTTAGGTACAGCACTGGCTCAAGCATGAACATGAGAATAAACCAGCCTCTATGACAGGCCTACTACGTTTATGTTACACATCTTCAAGACGTTACCTATATGGAATAAAAAACTTTGAGGTAGTTAATAGCTAATTACTTCTACATTATCAGAAGTTGATTTTAGAAGGAGTTACCTATTATGAGCTGGTCTCTGGGATAGTAGGAAGGTGCGTTATTCTGTAGTAGCTATGTTTAAGCTGCCGTGCTGTACGTCCAGACACAATCCATTTTAATTTCTGGACATTTGGTTTGGAACATTTGCTTGAGGAATATTCTGTAAGGCACTTTAACACCAGTTCCTTCCAGAAGGTCAAATCTCTGCTGTTTATCTAAATAGGAAGACAGAATCTCATATGTTAATAACTTACTAAATCCTTATTTCATATATGTACTTTCAACTTCTTCATATAAGATAGAAAGCCAAAGGGGAAAAAAAACAACACCCAAACAACAAAGCCCCAGAAGAAACCAGTATGCCAATGGGCTTCTCCCTTCCCCACTGC